GACTGTTCTATGTAGTGAGCTGTTAAAATGCACGTGTGTATGTGTATACATTTTACAACCCGGCTCTCTGCCCCAGTAGGTTTAGTAACATCCTCCTCTGAGCTGTTTCTGCATCTTTTAGTTCATGTCTCATTCTGTTGTTTAATCTGTTTATATATTTCTCTCCCCCACTAAACTGTAAGTGCCTGGAAAGACGGGGACCATATGTTTATGTCCCAGGGCCTAACATGTCATCTGACTCTTGGTTGGTACTTAATAAAAATTTGATGATCATGATTAAATTCTTCATTACCTCATTACTAAATTCAGTGACTATGAAAGATACTAGGATGAGTCCTCTACAATTTAACTCTTTGAATAAAATTTTTGTATCTCTAAGAGGAGCAAATTTGGGGAATTTCTAAGAGGAGGCCTGTGCCCCAGGCCCATATTTCTGTTACTTGCTATTTTTGTCTTATGATTGCAAACAAGTATCTAAAACCAGATTTCTGTATTCCATCACCTCCCAATAGAAAGTATCTGAAGAATCATCACATCTCTATTGTCACTACCTGTCCCCACCCCCCCCACCCCCCGCATCACACTAGTCATCAAAACTTACAGCTTCAGGTTTGGTGCCCGTAACACAGTGGTTACAGCGCCAGCCACAGACACCAAAGGTGGTGCGTTCAAACCTGACTGGGAGAGCTAAACAACTGCTGCAACAACAACAAAAGGAATTAGTTTTTCCTTTATGCTTAAAGGATAAGATATTCTGGGCAGATAAAATATCATGTTTTATTCTATTGGAAATGTCTCATATGAAGTAGAATAGTAGGTATTAATTCTGTTCCCTGAGGAAAGGATATGTTTATTCAGTTTTAATAGTAGGTATTATTCTGTTCCCCGAGGAAAGGATATATTTATTCAGTGAGCCCTCTGCTTTCTCTTTCACAGCTTGATACCTCATCGTTTACAGTGACATTCTTTGGTCAAGGATATAGCGAAGGCTGTAGTCCTGAGAAGAGCAAACCAAATGTCAGAATTTGTACTCAGGTGAAAGGACCAGGTATTTCACATAGGACTTAAAAATGTTTGTGAGTTTTAACTTTGTCTTAAGCCATAAAATGGGATGCTATTACCAATATATATTTTTTTAAAGTTTGATTTTTTTTAAAAATACATTTGTACAACTTAAGTAGTTAAAAGTTCTGTTAAAAGGGGCAGTGCCTGTGGCTCAAAGGAGTAGGGTGCCAGCCCCCTATGCCAGAGGTGGCCAGTTCAAACCCAGCCCTGGCCAAAAACTGAAAGAAGAAAAAAGTTCTGTCAAAGGAAGAATTAGCACTGTTGGCACAATCCACTTTTATGAATGCATTGTTCTTTTTTCAGTATGATTCAGTAATTCACAATGGCAAATTTTAATTAGTATTACTAAGAAAAGGGGCTGGTTGATATTTACCTATTTGAGACTCGTATACAAGCAGTAGAATTATAACATCAGTCAAATCTGTGGCATAAGGTTTTTGGAGTCTGAACATTCTGGCATTGTTTGTGAAATGCGTGTGCACACATGCACTTGTCAAGGGAGGGTCGTGGCTTTCAGTAGGTGGCTAAAGGATGTGCTACACAAAAAATTTTAATAGCACTGGCTATAAATTAGAGACGTATACAGAGACAGACCCACTTGTGACAGGCCCATTATAGTAAAATTTTAAAAAGTGTAATTACTGTCATCCTTGATAAGTCACAGGGGGTTTAATCAAGCCAGGGTGGTGACATGTTTACATCTTGTCTTTTTTTTAAAACTCTCACCTGACTTTTTATAGTAAGTTGACTATATTTTTATTACTTGACAGGAATATAGACTTTTTAAAAGTTATTCCTGTTCAGTCACTTGTTTTCTTTAGTAAATTGAGAGGTTTTCTTAAATGCAGTATGTGAATGCAGATAGGGACCAGCTTAGGGCAGTGTTTTCAGCCTTTTTATCTCACAGCACACTTGAACCTATGTTAGACTTCTCCAGTACACTTGCAGACTTTTCTTTTCTTTTTTTCCAAGACTGAGTCTCACTTTCTTGCACCCAGTAGAGTACTGTGGTATCATAGCTCACAGCAACCTCAGACTCTTGGGCTCAAGAAATCCTCTGGCCTCAGCCTCCTGAGTAGCTGGGGCTACATGCATGGGCTACCATGCTTGGCTAGTTTTTCTATTTTTAGTAGAGAAGGAGTCTCGCTCTTGCTCAGGTTGGTCTCAAACTCCTAAGCTCAAGTAATCCACCTGCTTTGGCCTCCCAGAGTGCTGGGATTAAAGGAGCCACTCTAAATTATTTAGTTGATCAGGGAAAAAAAGAGTAAACAAAAGAATATATTTACTGTGCTTTGAACTTCTTTCAAAATTAATTATTGATTTTTAAAATTTTTCACAGCACATCTAAGATCTTCTCACGGCACACTAGTTGAAAATCATTGGCTTAGTATATTAATAGAGAACCAAAAAACGTAGAACCATTGCCTTCAATTATTGTTAAGACGTGGTGCAGTGTAGTGGGAATGAGTATGAACTCTGGGACCAGCTGCTTGGATGAGCTTCTGGCTCAGCCACTGCCTAACCAGTCAGCCAATTTTCATCAGTAAAATGGGGATGAAAATATAGTACCAACCTCATAAAGTTGTTAAGAAAATTGAACTTCATAGGTTTAAATCACTTAGTATGGTTCCTAACACTTAATAAGTACTATATAAATATTGTTATTTTTGTTATTAAGTGACCAGAGTGTCTATTGAAAAAATTCTGTATGTCTAGAGTGAGTTATGAAATCTGCCTTTTGTTCTGGGTGCTGCTGAATGCATACTTCATGCCTTGATCGCCTGTTCTCTGCAGAGGCTGGCTATGTGTCTACACCCATAGCGATGGTTCAGGCAGCCATGACTCTTCTCAATGATGTCTCTGATCTTCCTAAGGTGTAAGTTTGGTTTTCTTCTAATTAGAAGATACCTTTTTTATCTGTGTTAGGGTTTAACTGATCTTGATTCGATTTTCAGGCTTGAGGTCTGCACATAAGCATTTAGTCAGTTTCTTTTATCCAAAGATATAGGTAAATTAATTATATACTTAATTAATTAGTGTATAATTAATGGAGAACAAAAAAACATAGAACCATTGGCTTTAATTATTGTTAAGAAGTGGTGTGGTATAGTGGGTATGAGTATGCACTGTAGTCTAGTTTTAGGGTACAGCTAAACAGTCATGACAGCATCAAGACTCAGGTTTTTATTCTTCCCTTACCAGCCTCTGGGAACAACCATGGAGGTAAATAAGGAGAGACAGAAAAGTTTGGGAACCATGTTAAGTTAGCTCCAGGTCTTTTTTTTTTTTTTTTTTTTGAGACAGAGCCTCAAGCTATTGCCCTGAGTAGAGTGCGGTGGCATCACAGCTCACAGCAACCTCCAATTCCTGGGCTTAAGCAGTTCTCTTGCCTTAGCCTTTCAAGTAGATGGGACTATAGGTGCCCACCACAACACCCAGCTATTTTTTGGCTGTAGTTGTCGTTGTTTGGAGGGCCTGGGCCAGATTCTAACCCGCCAGCTCTAGTGTATGTGGCTGGCACCTTAGCCATTTGACCTACAGGTGCTGAGCCAGCTCCAGGTCTTCATAAAGATAGCTCAGGTCCAGAATCAGACACTCAGAAAAAGTCCATGTTGCTATTGATCAGTGCTGAACTTTACCAGTGAGTGATAGGAGTGTTCCCGGACACCAGTTGTGAATTGAATCATGGGATCCTGGCTGTGTGATCATCACATGTACTATCTTTCTGGAGCATTTAGCTGTTACCCTAAAACTAGACCAACTTTGCAAATGAAGATAGTCCTACAGCTAAGAAGTAAATCAAGCATAACCTAAAACAGTTTTTAGGTAATAAAAATGAAATTTGTATATAGTAAAACAATTCAGTTTTTCAAACACTTATGTGCCCTTTGAAAATACTTAGTGGTTTACCAATGGTAGGTATTGTATTTAAGAAACTTTTCACCCAGTTTAAGTCTTATTTACATTTTAATAATAATTGGTTACCTATTCTATTTAGGTCTTTCTTTAATTCTCCCGAGTCTAAACTGTCTTCATAGACAGCTGTTGCTCAGGTTGGTGATCCTCAGTATGCCCCTTGAACACATGGTTAGGGTGGTAAAACTGTCTCACCAGGAACTGAGCCAATCTAGATGGGATTGGCGGCAACTCGTGTTTCCCCCGAATAATAGCCACTTGCTCATGTAGCTAATTTTAGAAATGGAACTATGATAGCAAAGTAACCATGATAGCATCGAGACTCAGGTTTTTATTAAGTTCGGCAGTGATTTGATAGCTAGTCCCACAGAGGAGAGGCTGGAGAGGTCCTGTGTGAACTGTTTTCTCTTGTTATTGTTTTACAGGGGTGGGGTCTTCACACCTGGAGCAGCTTTCTCCAAAACAAAGTTGATTGACAGACTCAACAAACGTGGCATTGAATTTAGTGTCATCAGCAGCTCTGAAGTCTAAACATTTGAAGAACTAATGGAAGTCCTAAAAGTGCATGAATTAACAACTTCTGTATTTGATATTTGAAATTCTTCTATAAACCTGGCTATATATGGAAAAGATTGTCAAATCTAAAATATCTAAACATTAAAAGCAAGAAATTGTACTAGCTTAACCTAAATTTCAGATCTCAGCTGATTTTGTGATCTTTGCTTACAAGAGAGAACTAATACTTGACTGGCTTTTTCACTGAAATGTTCCTGGAAAACTGTTCTGGAGGAGCTGGCAGGTCTCTTGGTGGAGGAGGTGTCTGTATGTTGTTAACTGCACCCCACCCCTGGCATTCATTAGGCAATAACCAGCTTCCCTTGCCCCAGGGTACCAGTGGAATCGCACCTTCCAGTGAGTTTGTCTATGTATTGTGAGAGCCTTTGCTGAACAAAGTAGCACTTTTTGCTGTTTTAGCCTAGTTTTTTTGCAGTTTTTAGCCTACACTGACTGGCTTTGGCCTATTACGAAAGTTGGGTGGTGATCTGGCAAAGGGTTGTCAGTTGTAGCAATGTGCTGTTTAAGTGGTCTGACCTGTTTACTACAAATAATTGGGCTTGTCATTCTTTCTTTCCCTGTTCTGTACCTGTGATTAGCTTTAAGGATAGAGTTCGCAAATTTCTATTGTTTTTTCACTGCCTAAGCAGAATTTTTCTCCAATTTACTTTTTGTAATTTAACTAGGTTTTCCATAGAAGCCCTAAAATAAAGCAAAGGACTTTTCCTTTTGTAATGAGCATATAATAAACATTTATCTAAGAGTTCATGTTTTTCATTACTTAAAGAAGACACCCCTTTATGGAATTTCTACTTGAAAGATGAGAAGCTTAACATACTTAGGAATATTATTTGTGTTGAGAGACCATGCTTATGCTGCCTGTGCAGGAGAAGGAGGGTATCTAACTTACACAGGGAGAGTCTTGGAGGTAATACTGCCCTCCCTGACTTTGCTTCCTCTGCCCTGGCCTGGTCATCACAAGATAGGGATTTTAGTCTTGGCTCTGTCCTAACTTGCAGGACCTTGGGAAAAGTTTTTGTTGTTGTTGTTATTTGTTTGTTTGTTTTGGAGACAGAGCCTCAAGCTGTCACCCTGGGTAGAGTGCTGTGGCATCACAGCTCACAGCAACCTCCAATTCCTGGGCTCAAGCGATTCTCCTGCCTCTGCCTCCCAAGTAGCTTGGATTACAGGTGCCCACCACAACGCCCTGCTATTTTTTAGTTGCAGCCATTGTTTGGCGGGCCCGGGCTGGATTCGAACCCATCAGCTCAGGTGTACGTGGCTGGTGCCTTAGCCACTTGAGGTAAAGGCGCTGAGCCTTGGGAAAGGTTTTATCAGCTTTAAAATTAGAAACCTGTAAGGAGCAATAGGTCCCATGATTAGCTGCATATCAGAATCTCAAAACAATGATAGCTTCCCCAGGGCCCTCAGCAGTGTGTATTTAGGTGGTCTGGAGGTTGGTGACTAAGAGTCTGTGTTTTAGATTTGTATTTGGGAACCACTGGATGCAGCTTCATGCCCCATCTGTTCTTTCTAGCTTTGCAGTGTATGTTCCAGCTTGACACGGTGTCACCTCATCCTTCAGCTTGAAGTACGGTGGGTCTCATCCTGATTTTCCTTTTAATCCCCCAAGGTTCCACCTGTCCTCATTTGCCAAAAGGATATGACTCAAGTGAGTAAACCAAAAATTGTTCAAGACATGTGAGGCTCACTCAATAGTAGTCATCCCTACTTTCAGTGGCCAGAGTGAACTGCACGCAGAATGAACTCAGCCTCTGTTGTTACTGCGTCTGCCTGACAGGCTCTCCAGGATTCTGTGATGCCTTTGCCGACCTTGCTCTGGCTGTTACAAGGTACTCTAGACATAGGCGCCAACATTGTAGTTTTTTTTTAGTTAATATTTGTGTAAAGTCAGGACCTGAACTACAGGCAAAACCCAGACCTTCCCCATAAATCCTTACACCCTGACATTAAGCTAAAATTGCTGGCCCAGATTCCCTAACCTTCCCAGAGACATTTTTTTTTTTTTTTTTTTGGTGACAGTCACCCTGGGTAGAGTGTTGTAATGTCACAGCTCACAGCAACTTCAAATCTTAGGCTCAAGAGATCTTGCCTCAACCTCTCGAGTAGCTGGGACTACTGGTGTACACCACCACATCTGGCTGGCTTTTCTGTTTTTAGTAGAGATGGGATCTTGCTCTTGCTCAGGCAAATCTCAAGCTCCTGAGCTCAAGCAATCCACCCTCCTCAACCTCCCAGAGAGCTGGGATTATAGGCATAAGCCACCATGCCTGGCCACCAGAGACTTTTTAGAGCCCTGTTCAGCCTCTCTTGCCAGTAGAGGTTCCGTGTCATCCCGTTCCATCCCCCTTAACTTCATATTTTAGGGAGCAGTGTTTTAGGTTGTCACATCTTATTTCCTCCTCCTTGATTGATCATGCACGTCAGCCCAGCTTCTCTGGGGACAGCCTTGCTCAGGCAGCAGTCGATTACAGTTAGTCCCTAGGCTCTAATGTCAGCCTCCCTGACACTCAACCTTTAAAGCCTCCAAATGGGGGAAATAATGGTGTCAGAATTATTGCGAGAGCTGAATGTTCAGCATTTAGATTAATGCCTGAGACATGGTGCCATATCACTTATATTATTATTAGAAGTCTCTCTGCCACAAAAAGTTTCTTTACAACCCCTCCCAAAATACTCACTGTCCACCAGTCCTTAACTAAAACCCAGCAATAATTTGTGGAATCAAGAAAGACTTCAAAATAGACTAACACCTGGAAGATTTTCCCACTAACAGTTATAATTCCCAGACCCTGCACTGAAAACATCCCACAGTACAGGCACTAATGCTGCTTAGCTAATTGAACATACAGTATTTCAAATAAACCGATGAAAAGAGGAAATAAATGGAGGTAGAATTCAAACTTGTTCAGAGCAAGAATACAAAAAAATGAGGGGCTAAGAAGTAACCATTGTCTATGTCTGATAGCAAGAAATTTATCAAAAGAGCTTCATTTCTAAATTTTGAACTGTTTGAAATAAAAATATTAATAGGCTCTGCATCCATAGCACAGTGGTTACAGGACGGGTTCCAACCCGGCCCCAGCCAGCTAAACAACAATGGCAACTACAACAAAAAAGTAGCCAGGCATTGTGATGGGCACCTGTAGTCCCAGCTACTCAGGAGGCTGAGGCAAGAGAATCACTTAAGCCTAAGAGTTTGAGGTTGCTGTGAGCTGTGACACCATGGCACTCTACCAAGGTGACAAAGTGAGACTCTGTCTCAAAAAAAGAAATATTAATAGTGAATGCTTGTCAGTCACTTCTGTGTGCCAGGTACTGTTCAATGTGCTTTGTATTCATTAAGCATGTGCCGTACATGCTGTCATCAGAACAGATGAGCAAAGAGCAGCTTAGGGCAAGTCAGTTGCCCAGAATCACACAATTGATAAGTGATGGATTTAACTAGAATTTAATCCTCAGCAGTCTGATTGCAGAGCTCAGAGTACCCACCATTCACTTCTCCCATCTCACCTTCACCCTGGATATGGATTCATTCTAGCATGATTAAAATCAGATTGAAGCAGAGTTTGCTTAAAAATAGAAGAAACAGGTCAGGTGGGAAATGAGTTAAGCCCGTTAGCTACACAAATGATCTTCACAATTCAAAGCAAAACGTTTCAGCCTCCAGTTAGTGTATCCTCACTATTTGATATGCAGTAAATATTCTCTTTTCTTTTTCACTATAAGAGCAACGTCGTTTTTCAGTTTCCACAAGCTGGATTCAAGTAGGTCCCCAAATTCCTTAAACATCTGTGACTGTTGAAGTACAAATGGTCGAAGCATTTGATCATCCTCCTAAAAAATAAGTGGAAAAAAAAAAATGTTAGTAGTAGATAGACCTCCTGTCATTAGAGTAAAAAAGACTACATGTGCATGAGTAGAGGGTCCAGTGAGTTTTCCCTTTGGGCCAGAAAACTGCATTTGTAGCTGCTACCAGAGGCACTAAGTCACCTAGGATAGCTTTGTTTCCGGAAGGCTACCTGGATGGCCTGTAGTTACTGCCAATGAGGAAAACTGGTGAGATAAGGCAAATATTTCAGATTGGAATGTTACATAGTAACCTAATACTGGAGAAGTTCTGAGGTCTCCAAAGGAACCATGGGGTGTGGAGACTCCCGTTGATAGGGTGTTGCTGATGCATCCCTGCCCCCTGGAAGCAGGTCCTTTTGAGAGAGAATTGGGATGGCTCTGGGCCAGAGTGCTAGTCACAAACAGTGGAGGAGGTGGTGACAGTGCTGAGAATCGTGACAGCAGATAGCAGATAGTGTGACGTGGCATTGCATTTTAGTTTATCCTTCCCTAATTATTATAAAACTGTTCAGATTCTTTGCCCAGTTTTCCCAGTGTGTTTGCCAACATGTTATCTTTTTCTTATTTTAAAAGTAGTTGTTTAGATATTCTGAATACTAACGCTTGATGTTATATAATACAAATAGTCCTCCCAGGCTGTGGCTTATTTCATTTGTGGTGTCTTTGTCTAACCAGTTTTTCTTTTTTATTGTTCAGTATGATACAAGAGAACTCAAAGGTGTGCACAGGCCCAGATTAAGTGAACATCCGTGCTTAAGAGAGCCTGCTGCTCTGAGCTCCTCCTGTCACACCCTCCCCCCAACCCCAGACACAACTGCTAGCCTAATTTGTGTGATAATCATTTTTTTTTTTTTTGCCTTTCTGAATAGTTTTGTCACCTGGAATGCATCCCTAAAGAGTATACTTGGCCTGTCTTTGAATGTTTATGGAATCACATTGGATGTCATCTTTTGTGACTTGAAGGTTTCCGTCACTAGTGCTGAGATTCATCCCTGTTGCACGTGGCTGTAGTGCTCCATGGTGTGGAGGGCACTATAATTTACCCATCCTCTGTGAATATGTATTAGAGATGCTTCCAGTTTGGGTGAAAGAGGGTGTTGTGAACACTCAATGCACATTTGCATGAGTTTCAGTAGTCTTTCTCAAGTGGTCCCTCATCTGAACCTCAGCACAGAAATGACTTAAGTAACTCTTCTCTCTGTTCCTTCAAGAGTAGTGTATAACTGGCACTATTTTAGATACACAGAGAGTCAACTTACTAGATCGAC